CCCGCTCCGCCTGCCCGAGGGCCGGCCGCGTCGGGCTGGAGGGGACGGGAGGCGTCTTGTGGCGCCCGACCCTCGCCTTCCCGCTCCTCGCCTTCCCCGAGCACTTCGGCACCCGCGGCAGCCCCGGGGGGGGTCAGCGCAGGCAGGTGTCGTCCGCGTCTTTGCCCCGGGAAGTCGTTTTCTGCTCTCCCGGAGCAGCCGTGCGGGCCCGGGCCCCTTTTGACTTCGGCGGAGGCATTTCCTTGCTGGCCAAGGTTTTACCTATATCAAAATGTAATCAAAGGCATGGTTTTAAACTTGGGGTTTGGGTGGGTTTTTTGACACTGGCTGACAAACTCTTCAGCTTTTACTTAATTTAGTTTATTTATCCGGCTAAAGAAAAAAAGTCTAAAACCAGGTCAAGACACTCATTAATGGCCCTGTTCTCTTTGCTCTGCTTTAATTAATTTAGTTTTTAAGCTGATGCAAAACTAAGTGTGCAATCCTTACTGGAAAAACCTCAGCAAGAGGCATGTCAGCAGCTCAAGTTCTGTCGCTGCCTCTTGCGGCATCCTATTCCCCTCTGGTCAGAACTGCGCCCGTCAGAACTGCTTAATTTTGAGTTACGGAAGGTGAGCAAGGAATGTCAGGGGCCAAATTTTACCTCAACTTACAATGTATTTGGGAGGTACGTGGACAGGTTAAAAGGCTATTTTTTGTTTAGGCTGAATTTGGTCTCTTACATTCTTCTGACTTAACAGCCCTCTCACGACCTGACAAGATCTATCTCGTAACTGCCAGAGGGAAGGAATCGATTACATAAAAACCTGAGCCGAGTCCTCCGGCTCTAGGAGGGGCGGGCGGCCCTCAGCCCTCGAGGCCCATCGCTGCTCTCCTGCTCGGACGCGGCGCTCACGGAGGGCTGAGCACCTGCCCGACGCTGCCGCTCGGTTTACTCTGAGACAAACTGCCGAAGTGCGGCCCTCAGAGGAGGACGGCTTAGGGCCCGCGTTTCCACTTTTCTGTGGAAATCCTGACAGGAAAGGAGAAAGCTCCGGGCTCCCCGGGGACTCTCCCGTTTCCTTGCAAGTGGCAGGCGTGTGGCGGGGCCGCGGCGGCTGGCGGGGGACGGGCCGTGGTGGGCGGCGGTCCGCGGCAGGTGCCTTCCCAGCCCGGGGGTCCCGGGAGAGCGGCCGAGCCCAGACGGCGCCC